TCCACTTTCGACTTAGATCTTTGACTATAGGAGTTGGGAAATAATGTTGAACTTGTACAGGATGTTGGTGAGGCCCCTTCTGGAGTACTGTGTCCAGGTCTGGTGGCCCTCTTACAGGAAGGATATTATTAAGCTGGAGAGGATTCAGAAAAGATTTACCAGGATGTTACCAGGAATGGAAGGTTTGAGATACAAGGAGAGGTTGGGATATTTTTCACTGGAGCATAGGGGGTTGTGGGGGGATTTTGCAGAGTTTTATAAAATCATGAGGGATTTAGATAGGGTAAGTGGCAGGTATCTTTTCTGTAGGGTGGGATTTTCAAGACTAGGGGGCATATTTTTATGGTGGGAGAAGAAAGATTTAAAAGGACATGAGGGGCAACTTTTTTTTAAAAACACAGAGAGTGGTCCGTGTGTGGAATGAACTTCCAAAGGAAGTGGTGGATGTGGGTACAGTTACAACATTTAAAAGACTTTGGATAAGTACATGAATAAGAAAGATTTGGAGGTATATGTACCAAATACAGGCAGGTGGGACTAGTTTAGTTTGGGACTATGGTTGGCATGGACTTTTTGGACCGAAGGGCCTGTTTCCTTGCTGTATGACTCTATGACTCTCTTTGTAATTCAATCTTCTGAGCCCCAGCATACTTCCCATGAATGTGGGATACACCTTGTCTACGGCCAATCTGTCCATCGTAAGGTGTAGTGTGTTTAAGACCAGAAGACACCGGAGTGGAATTAGGCCATTCAGCCCATCGAGTTTGCTCTGCCAATTGCTATGTTGCTATAGGAAGGATGTTGTTAAACTAGAAAGGATGCAGAAAAAGATTGCTAGGGTGTTGCTGGGAATGGAGGGTTTAAGTTTTAAGAAGTTGGATAGGCTGGGACATTTTTCATTGGAGCATCAGAGGCTGAGGGGTGACCTCGAGGTCCCTCAGGTCCCTTTTAAATCTTTCCCCTTAAACCTATTCCCTCCAGTTCCGAACTCACCCACCCTGGGAAACAGACCTCGGCTGTTCGCCTTATCTGTGCCCCTGATGATTTTATAAACTTGTATAAGGGTCACCCCTCAGCCTCCAGGGAAAAAAACGTCACCACCACATCATTGTTGGTGATTGTAAAAGCCCCTTGGGTTCACCAATATCATTTAGGGGAGGGAAAACTGCCAAGTTTACGTGGTGTGGCCTACACGTGACTCCAGACCCACAGCCATGAAAATGGCTGGCACCTGCCAATCAAATTGAAGACAATTAAAGACGGACAATAAATGCTGGCCTTGCCAATGATGCCCACACCCCTAGGAAAGAAGAGGTAAAGAATTCCGCCAAGGCTGAGCAACCTTCCTGTGTTTACCGAAGCTCCTCGCAGTTTTGTCGCAGAGCAAGGAGCTCGTCCAAGTGCATCTTGTCCTCTGCCTGGACAGCGATCAGCAACATCTCCTTCTCACTGACCAAGTGGCTGCGCTCCATCTGCAGAGCTTCGATTTGGTTGCTGAAGATGGTCTTCTCGGCCTGGAGTTGGTGGAGCTGGTCCTGGCACAGCCCCAGCCTCTGCCGGGACTCACCGAGCTCCGAGGTCAGCCTGTCGTTCACCTGAGGATGAAAGAGCACGGTGAGACAGCGCCCCAGGGACCCTCAGCCCGCTGAAAGAGAAAACCGGAAACCCTGGCTACAGAGATAAAGCTTTTTCCAGACTCCCAGAGCATTGTCAGCACAGAAACAGGCCGTTCAGCCCAAATGGAAAGGCCTGGGGTTGCGATCATTAGACTTGCAACCCAGAGACCCAGGTCATGTCCTGGCTTCAAATCCCACCAACTTTTGATGCAATAAAATGGTAGCACAGTGGCTTAGTGGTTAGCACAGCTGTCTCACAGTGCTAGGGATCTGGGTTCAATTCCAGCCTTGGGTAACTCTCTGTGTGGAATTTGTAGACTCTCCCTGTGTCTGTGTGTGTTTCTTCCAGATTCGTCCTGCAGTCCAAAGATAGGTGGATTAGCCATGCTAAATAAAGGGTTATGGGGATCGGGTGGGGATGTGGGTCTGGATGGGATACCTTTCAGAGGTTTGGTGAAGTGATGATGCTGTGGCTTAAGAGGTTATTTTGCCCTGAGAGGGTTTTAAGACAGCGGTGCCAAGCTGTCTCCTGGGAAAGCCAGAAAAGTAAACTGCTTGAGAGTTCTTGGGATCTTTTTTGAAAGTTGGAACAACAGAAGCAGCCTGAATGGGTGTGGCCATCTCTCAGACCAGGATTTTAAGTTTTTAGTTTTTTTAGCTTTGAGATTCGGCAGAAACTGCTGGAGATTTGAAGAAGTAGAATTTATCTTTTCCCTCTCTTGGTTACAGCTAGAAGTTGGAGTTTCTCTCTGCTGCTGGGTTACCTGTGAGACAAATCTATTTTTCCAAATTTGCCTTTTTGCCAAGGCGTGTGTTTATGAGATGTTGTTATATTGGAGCAGTTAATTAGTAATACTCACTATATCTACTATTCTGTTGAGTTTTCCAAGAATTACGTTATTCTAAGTTCTTCTTTCTTTTGTTGTATTTTGACAATAGTGTTTAAACAAATTGCTTTTGCTTAATGTTGAATAGTTTTATCAATCAAATTGCTTATAGAACACAGCATGTTACACTTACCTTTAAAATAAGAAAAAGTTAGGCTACCTTCTGAGGGGGTCTGGTCTGGTCCATAACAATGCAAACTCATTGGGCTAAGTGATCTCTAGCTGCACTGTAGGGATTTTAGATTCTAAACAAATCTGGAATTAAGAATCTAATGATGACCAGTTTCGATTGGCATAAAAAGAAAGATCTGGGTCACTGATGACCTTTCGGGAGGGGAACTGCCATCTTTACCTGGTCTGGCCTACATGTGACTCTCTTCTGGGCAATAAATGCTGGACCTAAAAAAAAACTCTACGATTCTATGGTCGTACACTATAATCAATCCATAATTACATTCACTCTGTTTGTTACAAACTCCTCATTTGGGCATTGACTTTGCGGCAAGCTCATGTTACAGCTGCACTCGCTTAACGCTAATGTTTGTTTTTGGTCGTTTATAGAAAGCAGGCATTGTTGTCAAGGTGCCATCTGTTGTTCCCCATTGCCCTCAAACAGAGCAGCTCATTCAACCATTTCAGAGAGCAGTTACAAATCAACCACACAGCCAGAGTTTGGGGTCACATGTAGGCCAGACCAGGTACGAGTGATGGATTTCCCTCCCTCAAGGGCATTGATGTTTTTGCAACAATTGATAGTGGTTTCACGATCACTATCATTGAGACTAGCCTTCACTTTCAGATGAATAAATTGAATTTAGAATTCCACCAGCTGCGGAGGCCCACAGAGTAATAGCCCGGCCCCTCAATTACAAATCCAGTGACATTACCACCATCTTTGTTTTGTAACGTTGGAGCTCAAATTCTTCCGAATTTCCCCTACCACCACCAGCAGCCTTGCTTAACTCCCACATCCCATGAATGAATAATAAGAAATGGCCCTTGCTGGGTAACCCCAACCCTATCCCAACCCTCCCATCTACCTTCACCAAAACCCATCAGGATATCTTTTCTCCCGCTTCCTTTTAAATGCATTATATGCCTATTTATCTCGAATTCTCCTTCTGGTATGAACTTCCAATTTCTAGCCACTCTTTGGTTATAAAGTGTCTCCTAATTTCCTTATTAGTGAGCATCTTATTTTTATGATCCCTAGTTTTGGTCTCCCTCAAATATCTTGATATCTACCTATTGAATGGTTCTAAAGTTATAAAGATCTGTGTCGATCATTCCTTAGTTTCTCATTTTTTCCAGAAAAATACAGCACCAGCCCATTGGAGAGATGATGGCCTAGTGGTATTATCGCTGGACTATTAATCCAGAGGCTCAGGTAATGTTCTGGGTTTGAGTGTTGCCGTGGCAGACGGTGGAATTTGAATGCAATAAAAATCTGGAATTAAGAGTCTAATGATGACCATTAAACCGTTGTTGATTGTTGTAAAAACTCATCTGGTTCACTAATGTCCTTTAGGGAGAGAAACTGCCATCCTTACCTGGTCTGGGCCTACATGTGACCCCAGACTCACACCAACATGGTTGACTCTTAACTGCCCTCTGGGCAATTAGGGATGGGCAATAAATACCGCCCTAGACACCAGCACCCTCATCCCATGAGTGAATAAATAAATGAATAAATAAAAATCCCACTTCATATGTTTAATCTCTCAGTTCTGCTGTAAACCTTGCAGAAAATTTCCTTTTCAGCAGATGATGACCAGAACCAGAAGACCAAATTTGGCCCAAGCCTAGGTTCCACACACATTTAATACAACTTCTCTGCTGTTCAGTTCTACCTGTCTAGAATGTTTGGTCAATTTGTGCTCAAATGGCACTAATCCATTCTTTTCATTTAAGTGTCACTTTCATCATGTTAAAAACCAACGTGGAGGTGTGTACCTGTTTGATGGTTGCTAGTTTTTCTTGCAGCAAGACTTTCTCCTGGTCTTGTCTGTTGGCCTGAGATTTGGTGCTCACCAATTCCATATGCAGATCAGCAACTTGCTCGTCAAAGCCTTCCTTCCCTTTCAGGGCTCGCTCCAACTCTAGAGTCAAGTGCTGGACCTGTTTGTGTAATTCCAGCTTCTCCTGCAAAACTCAGCCATGTTAGAATCCGATTCTCACTCCACCCACTGTGCCAACGTTAGCCTGGCATCACATCCTCCACCTCAAAATCCTAAGATCGCCAGATTTTCAGGTGATCATTTTTTAAAATCTCACCCATTCTAATTCGTTATTTTTGGAGAACACTGAAGATGTAGGAGGCCTCATGTCTGGACCAGCTCTGTGAAAGAGCTATCTAATTAATCGCACCACCCAGTCATAAGCTTTTGGCCCTTTTCAAATATTTCTCCAGTCCCCTTTTGAACGTCATGACCCAATCTGCTTCCACCATTGGCAGTGCCTTCCAGCACCAACGAATACTCATCTTCCTGTGCTTCTTCTGCCAGTGACCCTACTTCTGTGTCCCCTTGTTACTGCTAATGGGAACAGTTTCTCTTTAATATCTACAATGTTTGTGGTGGTCAGTGAGTTCAGTTGGCTAGACAGCTGGCTCGTGATGCAGAGCGAAGCCAACAGCGCAAGTTCCATTCCCATACCAGCTGAGGTTCCTTCTCAACTTCTCCCAATGCTTGAGGTGTGGTCACCCTCAGGTTAAAATCACCACCAGTCAATTCCCTCCAGTGGGACAGCAGCTCTCTGTTCCTTTGGGACCATGTTGACTTTAATAGACTCTTGAGCTACCACACATTTAAGTAATATTTGGATGATTATTAGAAGTGCCATAGTATACAAGGCAACAGGCCAATTTCTGGACAATGGGACTGAAATAGATAGCTGCTTGATGACTGGCATGCACACAATGGGCTGAATGGCCTCTGTCCAAGCTGCAAAACTCCAATTTTATGGCCGTAATCAATCCATAACAAATTACATCCACTATGTCTGCTACAAACTCCTCAACTGCGCATGGACTTTGTAACAAACTCATGCTACAGTTGCACATGCTTAACACTAACTTTTTTTTTGGTCATTTGTGCAATGGGGGCATTGCTGGCAAGGTTGGCATTTGTTGCCCATCCTCAACCACCCTCGAACTAAGCAGTTCGGTCAACCATTTCAGGGGGGCAGTTACGAGTCGCCCCTGAGCAGACTAAAGGAGGAGAAACTCTTTCCACTGGCAGGAAAGGCAATCAGGACCGGAGTGACACAAACTCAAAAAATAATTGGCAAAAGAGCTGAAGGGAAAACATGAAGAAAATTATTTACACAGCATAACGGAGCAAAGAACTGCAGATGCTGGAAATCGGAGATGTAAACTGCTGGAGAAACTCAGCAGGTCTGGCTGCATCTGTACAGAGAGAGAAAAAATACAGAATTTTGAATCCAAAATGACTCTACTTCAGAATCTTCTTCTTCTTGAAGAGTCACACTAGACTCAAAACATTGTTTCTCCCTTCACGGGTTTCTCCAGCAATTTCTGTGTTCGAACGGCTCCTTCTTCCCTGTATCGTTCCTTATTTGGAGAGGTTCGGGTTGCCATACAGTGAAGGAATGTGAAACAACACAATCCTGTTAATCACCACTTTGAAATCGAGGAAGGACACCGTATATGAACACTCAACACATGTGAGAGATTATCCACCTTGGCAAATCATTCCTTTATTGAATTCACTTCATACAGGAGGATACAAGCTATGTAGGGTGGATGGAGCTGTCTTGATGAGGGACTACATATTAAGATTGGAACCAGAGCTCCCATCGGTTTGCAAACATCTCAAATGGTTGATACCAATAGACCTCAGTCTTCTCATTGAGAAACATTGGAACACAGGAGGCCATTCAGCTACTTGTAATCTCTTGCCTTTAATGAGGTCATGGCTAATTAAAAAGCTAACCCCGCCCCCCCCCAACCCAACTCTTCTGACTCTACACGCACACACACCCTGTGGAAGGGTCACCGGACCCGAAACATTAACTCGGATCTTTTCTTCACAGATGCTGCCAGGCCTGCTGAGCTTTTCCAGCAACTTCTGTTTTTGTCCTCTGACTTCACCTGTGAGTAGCCTGCGTTAGCAAAATTCTATCGCTTTCACGATTATGGCTATTTAATGGTGCAACGCCTTTGAAGATTGATCCTTGTACCAAGCCTACAAAACACAATAAACCAAAAGGTGGGCGGTGGGGGGAGATACTGAATTGTAAAGAGGATGGAGATTGTTGCAAATCGGTCAGAGTTTGACACCTTCGCTCAGACTTAACTAAACTCTGTCGAAAAGTCAGTACCTGCAGCAATCGGTCTTTGTCTGCTGTTGCAGTTGTTAGTTGCGTTCTCAGGTTGGCCACGGCCTCTTCCAGTCTCACTGATTTCGAACAGAGCACGTCTCTCTCCTGCAAAGGATAGGTGGACAAGCTGTCGGTAAAATGGGAGCCTACCTTCCAGTGCACTGCAAGAAACGCTTCCAAAACTGGAAAGCCCTCTCTTAGGCCTCTCCTCAGTGTTCTCTCTGCAGAACAGCTGCTGTGCTCTGCATTATGATAAAGGAGGAAAGTTGGAGCAGGAATTAGACAATGGTAACAGTTGCCCGGACTAAAGGGAGATGGACAAGGCGGAGAAACCTTGACCCCCAAACAGAAAACACGTGTCCTGCCGTGGGAGAGGACTCAAGTCTCAGCTGCAATATTGCTCCCCTGCCCCCCTCACAGGCAGACGGGTTTAGTAACCAAGTCTGGGAGTTGGTGGGGTTGGGGTGGGGGGGCGGAGGAGGTGGTGCTGCTTTCCTTACCTGGGACCACTCTGGCAGCTCTGAAGGTAACATTTTGTGAAAACATAATTACCAAACTGACTTCACTGTACTTGAGGCGCAGCTGATTCACCTCATCATGCAGACCTGTCTGTGCACGCAAGGAATCATTCAGTCGTTGATTGGCCTGATTGGTTGTCAAGAGTGTCAAGTGTTGAGCCTGATGAAGGAAACTTGGGAAATTAATGGCATAGTTACACACTCTAAAAACGGCTTTAAAGCTAACGTCAGTGTTAACACCCATCTGGCTCACTCATGTCCTTCAGGGAAGGAAATCTGCCATCAATATCTGGTCTGGCCTACAGATGACTCCAATATGGTTGACACTGAACTGCCCTCTGAGGCAGCTGTAGGGCCACTCTGTTGTGGCAAAGCCACAAATAATTCTCAAAAGAATAAAACCAGACGCACCACCCAGCATCGACCTAGGCACTGTGAATGGCAACAGCAAGCACAGCCCTGTCAGTCCTCCTTCCCATCACCTAAAGAGTTAGCTCTCCCCGTTTGGGCACTATCTCACAGAGATAGTAGGAACTGCAGATGCTGGAGAATCTGAGACAACATGGTGCAGAGCTGGA